AGAGGGGGCTTGGGGAGGTTGATGACGAGGGTGGGCTAGGCCATGGCGGCAGGGAGGACGTGAGAGAGGAGGCGGAGATGGGCGGCGTGGGGCGAGGTGGGGCTTGGGGAGGAAGCGCGAGAAGAGGGAGGCGGCCGCGGGGGTCTCTAGGGTTCCTTTTACCCAGGCCACGATTGGCGAGGACGCGCTGCACACCTCGCGTACCAAAAACTGGAGAAAACTCACATGGGTCGCATGACCCCACAGCCAACGAGCCCCACCCGTCATCCTCTCTATAAGCTTACATTAATGTGAGAAAAAGCCAACGGTTGACCAGCTGCCAGCAGCCAAAAAAGTACTGTGGTGAATTCATCCTGCGGTGAAAAACGTCTCGCGCGAGGAGTGCCCCTGGAATGGCGGGTACTCTAGCATGGTTTATATGTTAGATATGTTCCAAGGATATTCAGCATTAAAAACGTACCAGCAAGTTGATCAACCACTCACCAACTTATTACAAATACCAAAAGTAGTGCATACAACACAAGCCACATTCTAATTTTGCTGTGAGACGATGTCCATGCAACAACAAAAAACTGCTCGATTTCTCATGTTAAGAGTTCTCCAAAAGTTCTTCCTATGTTTTTTTCGAAAATGAGGAAAGCCCTGGCCTCTTGATGAAAATTCTTTATTACTCAAAGTATCTTGGTCGAAAGAATACGAGTAATATAGTTGTAATTTCATAAGAACCCCGGAAGCATATTCATCCGTCGTACTTTACCTAGGATTTAATTCATGCAAATTTCTCCAAAATCTAGGGCCCTAAACTTATATTTAATTGCAATTGTTGTCACGTTGGCCTTCATGGGTTGGTGGCAAGTTTAATTAACATGGGTTGTTTTCTTTCTATGTCCTTGTTTGAAGTTATCTCGACATTCATGTATCGAGACTCCCGAGAACTTTGCCGAGAAGACCAACGTGGTGTGGGAGCCATCCAAGGATTTGAAGCACCTGAACTTGAAGTTGCTGGTGATCTGGGGGTGCGAGGATGAAGACAAGGTGACAAACTATGTAAGGCTTGTCATGGAACAAGCTGTGGGGCTGTTGATAATCAAGCTGCAGGGTGAATTGCCATGCAGGCACTGCAACGCCACCAACCTTGACAGATCCAAGGCGGAGAAAGCTAGCCGGCACCGGATTAAGGAGCGACTGGCGCATGGATCATCCTCATTTCTGGAGATAATTATCTGATATGTCAAGGAATGCTGGTAGTATCATAACGCTCACAGGCTTGCAGGAGCTAGAGCAATGACTCTGTGAGGCACATTCAGTAGTAATTTTGATTTCTAGTTATTGATAGCTTAAAAATACTTGGTTGGTGTGGACCTTCCAGTCTAGCTAAATTATGTGTGTACTGTCATCTGACCGCATGCTTTTCTCTTTCAGTTTACGGAGTAATTAATTGCCTATTTGTCCACCTAGCATATGCTGATTTGTTTGCCCTGGGATATTCAAATATTTGACTTGTTTCTTTTTTACTGGAAAAATTCCTGACTAGTCGTTGAGGCTCTCTCTTTTCAGAATGCGTCTTTGCCGCCTTGCCTGGACCCAAATTGTGGTCTTTGGGAAACATTCCAGTAATAGACTTTACTTTCTGAATTTATCACTATGACTGAATCAATGGAAGCGAAGGTGGACTGCGATGACCGTGTAGGATAAGAAAATTGTGTACCTTTTTGTTTCCATCTTATATGCTCAGAAACTCCTGCCGTATGCTCAGTTCAGCCAGGAGGGTCAGGTGTCATTCAAATTCTTGACGAGTTCTCTGCTTGGAATGTGACTGACTGAAAATGGTGCAAATTAAATGAGTTCTGCCCTTTTATATCTGACTGGAAGCCTATCACTGCAGCTTGATTCAACGTATTGTTACATTTAGCCAGAGATATATCTTCTCTCAAAGGAACACCAGAAAATTCTCCAACACGAGCATCTTACGTTGTTACATTGTTGAAAATCTTCGGTCGTCCTCCATCGTGCATAGTTGGAGTCACCATCATTCTATTGACTGTACCCCCAACTGAAGGAGCGCCAACAATATGCATGAGTTAGCTCATTGTTGCATGCACCAATGATGAATACATTCATCACCCATTAGTTCATCGATGGTTGGCACTCTTCTTTTTTCACGCCTCGAATAAATTTGCAGCTCCAGCAGGAACTTGTACCACATCAATATGCCAACCTGTGCCAGCGGAAAAGAAATCTCTGCTAATTGATTTTGGGATGATCAGAGGATTTACACTACCTATATTACATTACAGGGGAGGCAGATTTGTCTAGACTGTCCAGAGCCAACTAAAGAAACATAACTAAGCGCCCAGCTTGTATAACCTGTCAAGCAAAATTTCCTTTGCTTTCCGGAACAAATAAAGCCATCTAAGAGAGTAACAGGTGAAGCATAACAAAGTCCAAGTCCAACTCATCCAAGAGGAAGTTGTCATGAATATATATGTTTAGCTAATAACGCATGAAACTTTGTTACCAACAACAAAATGACTACCAATGACATGTGCAGTTCAGAACCAGTTGCTCTTGCAGGGCGTTTGGCAGCTGAAAACGGTGCGATAGGGAGTAATTGATACATTGTTTGGCCGGGAATTTTCGACTATATAATGTTGGCTATAGATAATGTGGCAACAAGATATAGCCATCAGTTGGCTCTATTATTGTCCTTGCCCTTGCTCTTATATGCATGTCGATTGGCTTCCACGGTTGCTTCCATGTTTCATTGTTTTTTATAATGTTTCATTGTTTTTAATAATGTTTCGTTGTTTTCCTGTATGTGGTTATGTGATTGGTAGAATGCTGATTTTAGTGTTCACCACTAGTGTCCTTTCATTCAGCGCAAGGTTTTTATGAGGCTAGTGAACTGACGTACGTGAGGTGTAATGTTCCACATTTGTAAACTTGTGTACCACATATTCCGAGAGCTCCATGAATGTATTGATTCACCGAATAATGGTACGCCAATAAAGCCAAATTGCCAATTGTGATACTCCCTCCGTCCTAAAATTCTTGTCTTAGATTTGTCTAAATACGGATGTATCAAGTCATGTTTTAGCATTATATACATTCATATCTAGACGAATTTAAGACAAGAATTTTGGGACGGAGGCAGTACGTTTTTATGTGTAGATATGCTAGACATACGTTTTTATGTTGGAGTGCGGCGATAATGACTGTCATGGATTTGCAGAAGACGTGAAAGATCCAACCTCCTGTTGAAGGGTGGGTTGAAGTTGGCCCCAGATCTGGCATCGAAGAGGCTCGGAGGGCTCCTCCGACCAATGTTCCTTATCGGACTAGATCCAGCCTTCCGGGGTTGGCGGCTATCGTGGCTCGTTAACAGCACAGGGTGTGGACCAACTTTTGGTGCTCTCCTTCTCCAGTGGCGAAGGGCGTGGGTGCTTGATAGTTGTGGCAAGGGCGGTGTGTAGCAATACAACCGCTTGTATCCTCCTTTGTTTTCTGTTGCATGTATATATTTCATCTCTGTATCATTACTATTATGAATACAAGTACTGTATGCCTATGGGTGTACATCTTAAAAAAGAAAAAATGAAGGCGTAAACAGTTGTTCTATTTTTTTTCCAAAATAAAGGTTTAAACAGTTTTTTAGTGGATCTTTTTAAACAGTTGAGCAGCATGAAACAGAGCGAGTGAGCATGCAGTACAAAACTGCGTTTTCCCTTTTTTTTAAATAAGAAACAACTGCGTTTTCCTGAGAACTGCGTTTTTTTTTTGAGGAAATCCTGAGAACTGCGTGGAATGCCAGGCCCATAACCCTGGCTAGTTTGTTGGGCCGTGCTGAGCCGAATCACCAAAGAAAGCCCTTGGGCCCTGGTCCAGCTGCGCTGCGCCAGAGGATTGCCTAAAAAAATAACTTCTTCTCAAAAAAAAAAAACTGCGCGAGAGGAAGGAAGGAGCAGAACGGTGGGGGACGGAGCGCCGCATCTCCGGCCGGTGGAGGAGGAGGAGGAGAAAATATTGGCGGCTTGGCGCAACCTTCTTCCTCCTCCCCCACCCACTTACCGGCCTCACATTTGGAGCCAGTACGGGCTCGGGCGGCAAATATGGACTGGGAGCAGACCAAGACGCGGAGGCCGTCCGGGTGGAGCGAGAGCTTCTCAAAGGTGCGTGCTCTACATGCCAATTGAGCCATACAACCTATGCCCTTTGGCCTTTGTTACGGGATCTCGAGCCGAGGTGTCCTCGGTTGGTGCCCATGAGCAGTGAGCTAGAGTGGGCACAAGGTGTTTGTGAAAATGCTAGTGGCATATTTTTCAGTTTTCACAAATCAGCTTATCCTTTCAAGTTTGAATGCTCCCCTGAAAGCTTATTTCAACATATTTCAAAGAGTGGCACTACGTTAGTTGATCAATGTCTCGTTCAAGCGGCGTGTGGTATTTATCGGAAACCCAAAAAAGAGGCGACACATAACCTTGGTATTGTTAAGGGTTCACATTCTCCTACATAAGTTTCTCATTTCTGGACCGGTGGCACTTGCTTAGTTAAGGGTTATATTGTATACTTTAAGCGTTCTGGATCAGTGCTACAGGATGTCTTTTCTTCCAGGTAAGCATTGTGTATATTTTGATACAATAAGGTGACATATCCGATACCTTTGACTATTTCTTACTTCCATACTTGTACTTAAAAAATGTTCCATAGTAACCAAGACACAAATTGCATCCAAAATTAAGAAATATAGAGTCTTACTATCCTTCTTTAAGGATACAAAAAAAAAACTGCTTAACTTGCCTTCTTTTATGCATCCAAAATTCTTGGTGAGAAGGGTCTTTAATAAGAACATTTTGACCTCTCCCATTTTGCCGTAGGAGGAGTTGAAATACATTATCTATATTAAAACAAAGCTTCTACTTCTTCAATACAAATGCAGTTTCTTATCCGGTATACAATTGTAAAAAGTACATACAAATATGCAGAAATTAGACTGCTAGGTGCTAGCGTCCCTCCAGTACTGTAATGCTCATGTTATTTGCAGACTTGGCAGTATTTTCTGCTGCTCCGTCAGTACCATAGTTATCTTCTGCAAAATACATGGGCTCTTTTGGAGTTGGAAGTGATATATCTCCATTGTCCAGGAAGGACACGATTGATGACACGAGTGGCCGCGCATTTGGGCTGCCTTGAACACATAAGAGTCCGATATGGATGCACCGTGAAGTTTCATTAAGTGAGCAGCTCCCCACAATTGACGAGTCAACAAAATCCTGTGTGTTCCCATCCTTCCATAAGCTCCATGCCTGCGTCCATTCTTTACCCTTTCAAGATGCATATATTTTCTATACTTGCAGAAATTCGAACATGTCATTTTACTTACATAGGCTATAATGCTGCTGAAGTCTGCTTTTAGGTGCACAGAACTGATCTTTGAGCCACTCACAATCTCCAGTAGTAAAACTCCAAAGCTATATACATCAGACTTGACAGAAAACACTCCTTTCAAAACATATTCAGGGGACATGTAACCGCTGTTTGAACACAGAACAAAATTTTGGTCAAGCACAAGAATAATGCATAAAGATAATTCATGCAGTATATCTCTTACTATGTGCCAACGACACGGTTGGTATTTTCTTGCTGCTGATTGCCACCAAATATCCTTGCCATACCAAAATCAGATATCTTAGGGCTCATTTCGGCATCTAATAATATGTTGCTTGCTTTGAGATCCCTGTGAATTATCTTCAGCCTTGAATCCTGATGAAGATAAAGAAGTCCTCTAGCTACCCCTTTGATTATCTCGAATCTCATCGGCCAATCAAGCATTGATTTTCTTGTGGCATCTGCTACCAATAGCATCAATTGAGGGATAATATTAGCCATTCTGGTTGATTTCATTACGTACTGAAATTTGTCAAGATGTAAGCAGAACATACCAAAAAGCATGGCGTCTAGACTTTTGTTAGGTAAGTATTCATATATCAATAGTTTCTCATCTCCATGGATGCAGAAACCTAGAAGTCTAACCAAGTTTTGGTGCTGCAACTTCGCAATGAGTATTACTTCATTTCTGAACTCCATTACCCCCTGGCCAGAACCCTTACTAAGCCTTTTCACAGCAATTTTTGTACCATCTTCTAATGTCCCCTGAGCACTTGATACTTTTAGTTCAAACAAGAGGGAAACACTGTTATGTTGCTCTATAAGAGAAAATTTCACGTTACCTTGTAAACATTGCCAAAACCTCCATGTCCAAGCATGTTGGAGTTAGAAAAATTGTTTGTTGCAAGTACAATTTCTTTGAAGCTTATAAAAGGATACTTTAAGTTTCCATCGTGAAGTTCAACAGAAGTGCTCGAAGTTCCTGACATCACCTTCTTCCAATTTTTCTTGTTTTTTTGTTTGCCTACCAGGAACATTGATTGCAGACATTATAATAAAGGGACATAGCACATAGAAATATGGAATAACATTGCCCTGCGCAAACATGCTTGGGGGAAATATACGAGAAAAATATGGAACTGTGTTCTACCTCCCAAGTTGCAGATCCAAACAAGCCACGCACATATGACTATGAGCAAACTTGACACGACTGGCAGTGTAATTTTTAAAACAACGCTCTTCTGCTTTTTATCTGCCAAAATTCAATCTGTAAGAAAACATAATTTAAAGATTTGCTAAATAGTTAGTTTCACAAGCCAAATATTTCTTACAAGTATGAACTACATGCACATTGTTTCAATTCTCAAGCAATCTATTTCTCACATGAACAATTGCATCACGAGTATGGTAACATTTGGGACATACAAAATGTCTGCTTGATACTTAACATTAAAACGCGCACAACATGTTTTGTTGAACTGGATTGAGTGGTTGTCATGCCCTATTTTTTTATACACTATAATTAGATGGCATATACAACTTATGCCAGACGCGAAGGTTTCCTTCTATAGGTATGTATAGACATGGATTCTGTGAACTTGTAGGAGCAACTACATTTTCTATTAATAGGAAATATACCCTCTGTTCCTAAATATAAGACGTTTTGGCAGTTTAAATTGAACTGCCACAACGTCTTATATTTATCAACAGTGGTATTAGATTGTACACCAAATTCAAGTCCAATGAAATAGGACTCGAACCAGGGTTGTGGGACTGTACACTGAAGATGTGTTCGGGAATCCTCTGCTCCTCCGCCAGAGAGCGGAGCGGGCGGAGCACCCCTTTCGCCGCTCGCTGAAATTGAACTGCATGCCACTCCGCTCCGCGGCAGAGTTACAGAGCGGAGTGATTCCGAACGGCCCCTGACTCTCCCGCCAATATGAGCTAGGCTCACTTCCTATACATTGGCTGAGATTGGATATATATACACTCTGGAATAACTGTGTTGGCGGCTGGCAAAATGTTTCTGGACACCTCAATGTTTGAAACATGTATTAGAAGCTGTTCATTAATAAATGTTTCAGATGGAAGTGCTTTACATGCTAACTAACTTTATAAACATGATCTGGAATATTGTGAACCACCGCATGCTCATATTTTCATGCTGCATCCAGTGGCTCCTAATCTGGACCCTCCAACTGAATAAGCTATTGTCTTTTCGTATAAAAAAGATTGTAGTGATTCACACACTGCATATATGTTACACCAAACTGTTCTATCATAATGGCATTATTAAGTCTTTACCCTCTAATATTTGCCCGCCACTACTAACTTAAACCTATCTTGTACTCACATTGTACATAGAACTCTAGAGAATATTACTGGAGCTCCACTGGGCCCGCAAATAGAGGAGTATATCTAACAGCACAAGCAGAGAAACAGAAACAGTAAACTGTACCACTCAATGCATTAACCCGGATATAGAGGGTTTCCCCTTTGTCCAACGAGCTTCTCCATGTCGATCAAATCTTTGGTCCATAATAGGCACCTAGTTTCAACCCCATTGATAGCATCAGTGCTCATATTGGTGTAAGTAAAGGCCGTGCAGGAGCAGTTGCTGGTGCATTCTGCTATGCATTCATCTAAGCTTCTATTCGTGACATACAAGAACTGGCTGGGAACCTTCATGGTTGACATATTTAAGAAGCCATCCCCTTGACCACATGTAAGTGCTTCCATTCGGTGACATCCCTGTGAAAACCTGCTGGCTGTCCAGTCTTGTTTGTTGTTTGGCTCAAAGCCATCAAGACACTTGCATGTCACAATAGGCTGCGTGTTGTCGCAGTAACCAAATTACCGAAAAAGGCTCACGCCCCGCTTTATAGATAAAGCCAATGCCAAAGCCAACATCCACAAGGTTCACACCACCAAGGTTCACACACACACACAGTCCAGGAACAAACAAGCATCAAGGGTTAGTGCTGAGGGCACAGCTCAACAAGCCCAACACACACACAAAAAGCGGCACACACGCCGGGAGAGAGACGCCTCTAGTCGGGCTCCGGGGGAGGCGGCGGGAGCGGCGGAGCCAGGCGGAAGGCCAACGAACGAAGGTCGGAGAGGAGTCTGTCGATGGCATCCCGGTCCGGAGGGCGGCTAAGCGGCCGCCAGAGCTGCAAGTAACCACACATTTTGAAGATGGAGTCAGTCGCACGTCGAAGAGGCACCTTCTGAATGACAAGCTTATTGCGAACCGTCCACAACGTCCAAGCCAGCACCCCAACGCACAACCATCTAATATGTCTGTAGCGTGAAGGGGAGGCCTGGATTTCCGCAAGCAAGTCGGGGAAGTTGTTATTACACCACTGTCCCCCAACCGTTTCGCGAAAACACGCCCATAGGAACTGTGCCGTGCAACAGGAGAAGAAGATGTGATTGGCATCCTCCGCCGTGTCACATAGGGGGCACATCCCATCCCCAGGCCCATGGCGCTTGAGGACCTCCACGCCGGACGGTAGGCGGCCGCGGATCCATTGCCACAAGAAGATCCGGATCTTAAGTGGGAGGCGGATGTCCCAGATAAGGCCGAATGGCTCCGGGGCAACTGATGGGGCAATAGCCGCGTAAAGGGACTTGGTGGAGAAGCGGCCTGAGGAATCCAGACGCCAGGAGATGGCATCCGGAGAGTCAGCCACGTCCATAGGCAACAGGGCGATGTCCTGGAGGAGGACATCCCAAGCAGCCACCTCGGCAGGGCCAAAAGGACGACGAAACGCGAGGCGCCCTAAGTCAATAAGGGCCGCCTCGACCGAGACCCGAGGGTCAACTACAATGTCGAAGAGGATGGGGAACCGGGCGGCCAGGGGGGAGTCCCCTAGCCACCTATCAAGCCAAAACAAGGTCGAGGCGCCAGAGCCCACCGAGATGGAGGTGCCTATCCTCAGGACTGGAAGCAGCTGGACGACTGCCTGCCAAAACTGGGAACCGCCCGAGCGCTGGCAGAACGCCAGAGGCTGGCCACGCAGGTACTTGTTCCGAATGATAGTCAACCAAAGGCCTCCCTCCCCATTGGCAATGCGCCATAGCCAGCGGGTGAGGAGGGCGATGTTCATGCGCCGAGAGGACAAAATCCCAAGGCCACCCTGGTCTTTGGGTTTGCAGATGTCTGGCCAGTTGACCATGTGATATTTCTGTCTGCCTGCCTCGCCAGCCCAGAAAAATCTGGCCTGGTACTTGGCGATCTCCTGATGAAGGGTTTCATGAAGGCTGTAAAAGCTCATGAGGAACCACAGAAGGCTGGCAAGCGACGAGTTGATAAGGATCACACGTGCCGCCTTCGACAGCCAACGCCCTTTCCAGGGCTCAACTCGGTGCTGCATACGGGTCACCGTGGGGCGGAGGTCCGCCACGGTGAGGCGCGAGTCGCTAATGGGGATCCCCAGATAGGTCGTGGGAAAAGATCCCAGCCGGCAGTTAAGCCGATCGGCAATGGACTGAGCGTCCTCATCGGGGTAGCCGAGCACCATCACTTCGCTCTTGTCAAAGTTGATGGTCAGGCCCGACATTTGCTGGAAGCACAGAAGGAGGAACTTCAGGTTGGAAATCTCGAGGGCGGATCCCTCCGTCATAATAATGGTGTCATCCGCGTATTGGAGAAGGGTCACCCCTCCCCCTCCAACAAGGTGCGGGACCAAGCCTCGAATATGCCCCGCAGCCGTGGCCTTAACTAGGATGGCGGCCAGGGCATCGACAACCATGTTGAACAAGAACGGCGAGAAGGGGTCCCCCTGCCGAACCCCACAAAGGGTAGGGAAGAAGGGTCCAATCTCGCCGTTGATGTTCACCGCAGTCCGGCCGCAGGAGACGAGCTGCATGACGCAGGTCACCCACCGATCGTCAAAGCCCTTGCGAAGCAGGACTTCCCTCAGGAACGGCCAGTGGACCGTGTCATAGGCTTTGTGGAAGTCCAGCTTAAGGAAGACCGCCCTGTGGCGCTTCAGACGAACCTCGTGGAGCACTTCGTGGAACACCAACACCCCATCCAGGATAAATCGGCCTTGAATGAAGGCGGATTGGTTCGGGTGGGTAATAATGCCCGCAAGGAGGGTCACCCTATTGGCGTACCCCTTCGCCAGAATCCTAAAGATCACATTAATAACTGTGATGGGGCGGAACTGGCGGATATCGGCGGCACCCGGGACCTTGGGGATGAGGGTCACCACACCATAGTTAAGGCGCCCCAAATCCATGGTACCAGAGTAGAATTCCTCAAAGAGAGCCATGACCTCATGCTTGATGGCAGGCCAGAACGTCTTGAAGAAAGCTACAGGTAAACCATCAGGTCCCGGGGCCGAGGAGGGGTTCATCCCCCTAATGGCAGCGAGGACCTCGTCCTCACTGAAAGGAGCAACCAAGGCCGCATTGGTTGCAGCCGAGACTCCAAGCGCCCCCGACCAAATGTCGGGGGCAAGGCTAGCCCCACCACGCGGGGTGGGGGTAAATAAGGCCCTATAGAAGCCATCCACATGGAGGCGGATGGCCGCGGGCTGCACTAACTGCGCATCTCCATCCCACAGGCAGTGGATGGAGTTGCGACGGCGCCGGCCGTTCGCAACCGCCTGGAAGTAGGCGGTGTTTGCGTCGCCCTGAAGCACCCATCTCTGGGTGCCCCGTAGGCGCCAGTAGGCCTCCTCGTCCGTGTAGATGAGGGATAGCTGGTCCTCTAGGTCGTAGCGCAGCAGCCACTCATCCGAGGAGAGCCCGGTCGAGTCCGCGCGCGCATCCAAGGCTTGAATCGCCACAAGGATGGAATTCTTGCGCTCTCTCAGGTCCCGGCCAAGATTAGCCCCCCAACCCTTCATGAACTGGCGGGCTAACTTGGCACAAAAGTGCCAAGTATCGACCGCGGACATGGCGCGATGGGGTGCCGACCTGGCGAAGATCCAGCGGGCGACGACGGCCTCCCGGAAGCCCGCCTGGTTGAGCCAGAAGCTCTCGAACCGGAACCGCGGCGGGGAGGGAGGGCGCTCGTCAACCGTGGAGAGGAGAAGGGGGACATGGTCGGAACCAATCCGGGTGACCGCCCGGAGCGATGCCAGGGGGCATCGCAATTCCCACTCCGGGGAAACTAGGACACGATCCAGCACGTATTGTGTCGGAATAGTTTGCCGGTTGGTCCAAGTAAACCTGGCACCAGTCCGGTCAAGCTCACGGAGCCCCAGCTCCGCAATCCAATCGTTGAAAAGCTGCATCCGGGGGAAATTAACCCGGGAATTATTCTTCTCGTCCGGCGAACGGATGAGGTTGAAGTCGCCCCCCACCAAAACAGGATGTGGGGAGTTGGAGATCTTCAGCTGCAACTCGGCAAGGAAGGCCGGGGAGCGGCGGTGGTCAGCCGGACCGTAGACCGCAATGACCTCCCATTTGAAGTTCAAAGCCCGCTCGAAGATCTCCATGCTAACGAAAAACTCCCCTCTATCCATGCCGCCCACCTCGAAAGTGGCATCCTTAACCCCAAGAAGGATGCCACCCGAGTGGCCTGAGGTCCCGCTAGAAGGGAGCCAGTGCCACGCGAAGAGGTGGGGGCTCAGATGTTCCAGCTCCTGTAGGGTGAACTCGACTCTAAGGGTTTCTTGGATGGCAATGATGTCAATATGTTCGTCCCGGATGTACTCGATGAGCTGGCGGCGACGGCC